GCCAGCCTGGGAGGGGGTGGAGCCGGGCACCCAAGGGTTACCTGCCCTTGCGGGCGCCCGCGGTGCCTGTCTGGGGCGCGGGGCTGGGGAGGGTGGACTTAAACCGGAGAGGTACAAGGGGGCGAGTTCCGGTGGGCGCCCGGGGCTCGGCCTGGGCCCTAGGGGTCGGGAGCTGAGGGCTGCGGTTGAAAAGCCCTCTTTCCTTCCTCGCCGGGTCAGGGAATGTGGGGAGAGAGGACGCTGGGGGGGAGGGGGAGGACCCTGGGAGGATCCTGGAAGTGGGTTTAGACCTGACTGCCCGCAGAGCGGACACACTGACCCTGAGGGGAGCTCATCGTGTGGCCTCGGGAGAGCCCTGCAGCCTCCCAGCCTCCGGGAAGGGATGGCATGGTAGGGCCCTGAGAGTCCTGGGCAGCCAGGGCCGGGCTGTCAGTGTCAGGGGCACAGTGAGGGGCCGCAATGGCCCAGGAGACTCTACTGTGCACGGCTCTTCTGGGAGAGTTGGTTTAAAGTAGACCCAGGGCTGGGGTGACCGGGCCACCCTGAGCCGCACGGCCGGCCCACTCAGCCAGGAAGGGCATCTGCCTCACCAGGCTCAACCCAGCCTCCCCCACCTGTGCCCTGGTGATTCCCCCTGGTGCCCACCTGGGGGGCAGGTGGGGTCCTCTCTAGTTGCTGCTGGGGGTAGAGCTGGGATGGTCGTCTGGCCTCTGCCCAGGTGGGACCCAAGGCGGATTCCTTCTGGAGCCTGGGACTGGAGCCCAAAGTCATCTCTCCTTTATCTGAGCAGGAGGCCGGTGGTGGGTGCAGGAGGGGGTGGGGAATTCGCAGGCCAGGCAGATGGGGGTGTCGGGCTCCAGAGACCTTGAGTGGCCATCTGGGGAATGAGGCCGACTCTGGATGGGGGATTGCTGTGGTCGGCGAGGCTGAGCAGAGAGGAGTAGGTCGTTCCTGCTGGCCTCCTGGTCTCCCGGGGCATCCAGGAGCAGAGCTCAGGGTGAGGGGGGTGGGGGAGTCAGGTGGATGAACCTCCTCCCTGAGGGCTCACACCCCTTCCCTCCCAGCAGGCAGCTACTCCGCCCACCTGCCCTGGTTAATCCTACCCACAGCGGTTTAGGGAACTGGGTGGGGGCCACTGGGTGACCCCAGACGGGTTGTATTCCAGCTGCCTGCAAGGCCACCGACCCCCTCTCCTTCCTCCCCCCACCATACCCTGGTACTGGCCCCGGGAGCAAAGAACAGAGGAGGGAACTGTGAGAGGCGGCCACGGAGGCCTGATAACAACCAGAACTTCAGGGCCCTCCCTCAGTGCTGAGGCTCTGAGGCTGGGCGCGTCCCAGCTGTGTTAACCCGGAGAGTTACGGACCCTCAGCACCCGGGCTATGGACCCAGGAGTCCCCTGATGGCAACTGCCGCCATCACTCAGGGGTTTGGTTGGACCACCCGTGGCGCCGGCGCCCTGTTTACTGAGTCACTGAGCCCCTCCCGTGTGCCTTGGGGGCTGGTCACCCCGGCTCAAAGCTGCGCTGTGGACCCAGCCCTCAGAGAGCGTCCAGGTCACAGAGAGCCCCATGGTACTAGGAACCATGCGGGGTGTGGGCCCCCCACAAGGGACCCTGAGAGCCTCCCCTGCTTCTCAGCACGTCCAGATAGTGGCCAGACAGCAGGGACTTGCTCCAGCAGGGAGGCTAGAGGAGCTGGCTTCGCTAAGGGAACTGAGGGCAGGGGGTTGCTTCCAGCCCATATCGTGATTGTGATCGTGATCGTGATCATGAACAAAGCCAGGCAGCAGGCATGGTGGCCTCTGGGTCTCAGAATGCCACCTTGCCTGGGGTCCGTGATCATGATTTGAAAGCTGGGCCGAAGGCAAGGTGGCATTCTGAGACCCAGAGGCCGCCATGCCTGCTGCCTGGCTTTTGTTCACGATCACGATCACGATCACGATCACGATCACGATCGTGATCAAGATCACGATCACAATATGGGTTGGAAGCAACGCGGCTTCTGGGTCTCAGAATGCCACCTTGCCTGGGGTCCGTGATCATGATTTGAAAGCTGGGCCGAC